GCCCGGCCCAGCCCGCGCCCCCCGGACCCCCGTGCGGCCGCTGCAGCGGCTCCTCCCGCCCGGCCCTGGGCGGGGGTCCCGGCCCGGGGGGCTCCGGGCACCCCAGACCACCGAGCTGGGCGCTCTGGGGGCCGCGTCGGGGCTCCGGCGGTGCCCGCTCCCGGGGGGTCTTGGCCGGGGGCTGCGGGGTGGGCTCGGGGGTGGGCAGCTCGGGGGGGTCGCGGGGCAGCGCGGGGTACAGGCGGGGCACGGGCGGCTGGGCGGGGGTCCGCGGGGCCGGGGGCTCCGGGGGAGCCTTGGGGACGGCGGGGCGGTGGCAGCAGGTGGCCACCAGCCCGGCCCCCAGGGCCCCCAGGGCGAAGGCGCCCAGCACGCAGCCCACCAGCACCGGCAGCGGCACCGCCAGCGCGGCCCCCGGCCCGGGGCGCCGCACCCCTGCTGATGGGACCACCCGTCAGCACCGCCGGAGGGGGGGCTGCACCCCCCGGAGCCCCCCCTTGTCCCCATCACACCCCTGAGGGTCCCTGTCCCTGCCTCCTCCCGTCCCTGGGGTCCCTTCCTGGTCCCTGGGGTCCCCCTCCCACCCTTGGAGCCCCTGCGGTCCCCCCTCACCCCTGGAGTCCCTTTCCTGACCCTGGGACCCCCACCCCGGGGTCCTTCTCCTTCCCGGGGGTCCCTCTCGCATTCCCGGGGTCTCTTCCCTGTCCTTGGAGGTCCCTTCCTCGTCCCTGGGGTGTCTCTCCCTCCCCAGAATCCCTGTCCCTCCCCAGTCCTTGGAGTCCCCCTCTCCTACCCCCGGGGTCCCTCCTGCTCCCTGGGATCCCTCTCCCAGCCCTGGGACCCCTCTCCCAGCCCTGGGACCCCCTGCCCCATCCCCAGGGTCCCTCCCCAGGGTCCCTCCCCAGGGTGCCCCGGTGGTGTCACTGACCGTGGGCCAGGTCCCCTTCCTCGTCCTCGTCCCCGTCCCCGTCCTGCCCCACCACTGGCACCTCTGTGGGGGCACAGCAGGGTCGGGCCAGGCCCCTCTGTCCTCTGGAGCCCCTCCTGTCCCCTGGAGCCCCCCCGTGTCCCCTCAGTGTCCTCCCCATCCTCCAGCATCACCCACCTGTGCCCGGGCCACCCCGGTGCCACCCCGGTGCCACCTGCATCCCCCCTGTCACCTCGTGTCCCCAGAAATGCCCACGGTGACCCTTTATGTCCCCAAATATTCCCACGTTCCCAGTGCCCCCCATGACTCCAATCCCCCCCTCCCAGTGTCCCCCACGTCCCCCCCACTTCACCTTGGCAGGTCCCGCTGATCCCGAGGGATCCCTCCACGTCCTGCTGGAAGCCACTCCTGGGGCACACAGAGGGGACGTCACCCTCTGTGCCCACTGTGCCCCCCCAGGAGATCCAGAGGGGGGGGTGAAGGTGGGGGACCCCCAGGAAGGGGGGGGACACTCACGGGAGGTCCTCGGAGAAGGGGACGCAGCCCTCGGGGGGCAGCCAGACACAGTAGGGGTCCCGGGCAGCCAGGCAGCTCCTGAGGGACACGGGGGGGATGGAGTGACCCTCAGGCAGTCCTGTGCCTCCCCACCCCCCCCCCCCCGGGCCCCCCCGTGCCCCCCTCACCTGCGGCAGGAGCCGTGGCGGCGGCAGCGGCTCAGGGGCACCCGCACGAGGCACCCGGCGAAGGCCACGAGCAGCTCCCGGCCCGGCGGGTGCAGCTCCAGCCCCAGCACCCGGCTGGGGACCCCCGAGACCCCTGGGGCCCGGCACCTGCCCGCCCCACAGTGCCCGGGGTGAGTGCAGCCCAGCCTGGCACCCACAGACCCCACAGATCACCAGAACCCACACCCTCATAGTGCCCGGGGTGAGTGAGCCCAGCCTGGCACCCACAGACCCCACAGATCACCAGAACCTGCCCCCCCAGAGTGCCCGGGGTGAGTGAGCCCACCCTGGCACCCACAGACCCCCAGAAACCACCCCACAGTGCCCAGGGTGAGTGAGCCCACCCTGGCACCCACAGACCACACAGATCACCAGAACCTGCCCCCCCCAGAGTGCCCGGGGTGAGTGAGCCCACCCTGGCACCCACAGACCCC